TCAATTTCACCTCTGATGGCAAATGAGGTTTAAATGTACCAAATCGTGCAATCAATCTTTTCTTGAACTGTAACCAATCTCTAAAAGGTTCAGTTTCTATTTTTCAATTGAACCAATTCAGCACATGGTCCTCAAGACTGACTGAAACCAATTGAAGACGTGCTTCGCCAACATAATTTCCCAACCTGAAAGATCTCTCCATTCTAGCAATCCAACTATATGGATGTGATCCATCAAACAACGGCATTTTGACTTTCTGCAATAAGCTATCGTGATTCTCGAAAGCATGAACCATTGGCCGATAAACTATCGTTGGATCAGCTCCATCAGTTTTCAAGAGAGTACTAGGTACCTGAGATAGATCAGTCGAAAATGTCGCCACTGCCTTGCCTTGCGATTTCTCTATGCGCGACAACACAAGAGACATCTTTTGGATATTGCGATCCATCGTATCAAACCTCTGATCCAAAGAATCGAGTCGAGTCTCAATCGCCAAGAATCGTGTCTGTGAAAGGGTGTGCTCACGAGTCAAACGCGCCCATCCTCTTTTGATTGTTGTAACTTGTGGAGCTATATCCTGCACCGTCACTTGCAATGCAGTCTCGAGCTGTTTCGATTCATCCACAGAAACCATTGCGAAGCTTCGATCTAGTCACCGCACCAATTTGTTATGAACAAAACTCCAAACTCCTTTATTCACTTGTAAAATGATACACCAATATCTGAATTACAAATCTGCTACAGATTGATAAATCCAATATGTGCTAATACGATCCCCAGATCGCTATTGAAGAACTCCAAGTTCTATTAATTCCTAGAAACTCAACAAGAAAATGCATAATCCTATTTTTCGAAGACGAGAGTCTATTTATACTATAATAGCAAACCCTCTATCACAGTTAGAGTCTTTGCTCTTTAGGCTATATCAATACCCGCCCCAATAACACGAAGCTTGCCCTCAAGTTCGGAATCTGAATCATGTCCCCATATATCACCTGTAGATCTGCATTCATGGAATCTGTAAACTGAGAAGGATGATATGACGTGAGGTGTGGAAATATTTGTAATTGCTTAAACCTCCACTTGTGTTTCATGTGAAACGTCATATCAACAAGAATTAGCCATCTCCATGAATCAAGCAGTTCCACTTTCACTGGTGATAACCAGCGTGAACCCTAACCTCTTGAATCTTTGACTTCTCTTTGAACTTGAAATTCCTTGGTTTAAAGAAAATCCTCTGTTTTCTTTTAGTTTTAAGTTGTTCAGTCTCGTGATACACAATCTCAAACCGAGACATCTCCCCCTTTTCGTCCACTGATACACAATCAACAGATGGTTCCGGAAGCTCTTTCCCTATTGGTGAAACTATCTTCCTCGCCAATTCTGTCTCATGAACAACATTCATCATAGGTTGAACAAAGTCTTTCTTTTGCCACGCTTCTCCCTCTTGAAAAGATGGTTTTATCTCTGGAATAGCTGCAGTGGCTTGATTTGATATATTCGCTGTACTAGATTCTGCTTCCTGAACAACATTCCTCTTTGAAATCGACTCAGACTTCAATTTCACCTCTGATGGCAAATGAGGTTTAAATGTACCAAATCGTGCAATCAATCTTTTCTTGAACTGTAACCAATCTCTAAAAGGTTCAGTTTCTATTTCTCAATTGAACCAATTCAGCACATGGTCCTCAAGACTGACTGAAACCAATTGAAGACGTGCTTCACCAACATAATTCCCCAACCTGAAAGATCTCTCCATTCTAGCAATCCAACTATATGGATGTGATCCATCAAACAACGGCATTTTGACTTTCTGCAATAAGCTATCGTGATTCTCTAAAGCATGAACCATTGGCCGATAAACTATCGTTGGATCAGCTCCATCAGATTTCAAGAGTGTACTAGGTACCTGAGATAGATCAGTCGAAAATGTCGCCACTGCCTTGCCTTGCGATTTCTCCATGTGCGACAACACAAGAGACATCTTTTGGATATTGCGATCCATCGTATCAAACCTCTGATCCAAAGAATCGAGTCGAGTCTCAATCGCCAAGAATCGTGTCTGTGAAAGGGTGTGCTCACGAGTCAAACGCGCCCATCCTCTTTTGATTGTTGTAACTTGTGGAGCTATATCCTGCACCGTCACTTGCAATGCACTCTCGAGCTGTTTCGATTCATCCACAGAAACCATTGCGAAGCTTCGATCTAGTCACCGCACCAATTTGTTATGAACAAAACTCCAAACTCCTTTATTCACTTGTAAAATGATACACCAATATCTGAATTACAAATCTGCTACAGATTTATAAATCCAATATGTGCTAATACGATCCCCAGATCGCTATTGAAGAACTCCAAGTTCTATCAATTCCTAGAAACTCAACAAGAAAATGCATAATCCTATTTTTCGAAGACGAGAGTCTATTTATACTATAATAGCAAACCCTCTATCACAGTTAGAGTCTTTGCTCTTTAGGCTATATCAATATCCGCCCCAATAACACGAAGCTTGCCCTCAAGTTCGGAATCTGAATCATGTCCCCTGCCCCCCCCCCCCCCCCCATCACAGTTAGAGTCTTTGCTCCTCGGGCTATATCAGAGACATTCGAAGGTGAAATGAGGAAAAAGTTACCTCTGTCGAGCATTTTACAGGCCATCGGATGTAAGCATCAATGCTTATACAACTGGACCAAGCAAGAGAGGGAACATTGCAGATAAACTGGATGATGCTTTGCTTGTAGATAAGGAGCAAAGGAGACTTGTAGCCGTTTTCAAAGAAGATGAGGACTTAACACCAATACACGGTCGTTCTACACATCAAAGAAAGCCTCCTGATCGTGCCAAGCATGTACTGGTTCAGTTTAATCTGCAAGAAAACTAAGACAAACCATCAAAATCGCATATACACATAAATGGAGCAACAAGTGCATATTTGGAGCCATCTATGAAAATATGTCAAGCAATAACATATTATTCGACCAACCACATCCCAAGAAGCTATTGGGAAGATTAAACCATATTTGGTTCAATTTAAGTCATCATTTACCCAAGAAGATCCAACCAAGTGCATATATGGACATACATGCAAATATATAGAGCCATTCAATGAAACAAAGAGCATAGCTTACACCAACATATCATTCATGCCTCCCTTGACTCCTTGAGGTTCACAGAGTTTACCAAGAGTCTTAAACCACCTGACTAAGCCAATAAACAAGTCAAAATACCCCAAACCAAAGAAGATTTCGTTTTGATGATACTTCCCTTATTTGGACATAATCACTTACTCCAAACCAGGAACAAATACCAACGACCACATCCTTCACTCAATTTCGACCCTCCAACATCTCTAGAAGATTGTCTACATTCATTTCGTGCTGAAGACTCAAAAACTCATCCCACCATACCAACAGCTAGCTAGCTAAACATTTCTTTCATCACTTAAGCCAAGATTTGTGCTTTTCTTTTATTGTTATGACCGTCTGATATCTTTATTTCTGAGCATTATATAGCTCATTGTATTTTCATTTCATTGTCACGAAATTATTTCAATTAAAAACCTTTTATTTGCTTCTAAAAAAAGATTTCTTTTGAATCAGTTGTTCTGGCAAATGTCAAATATTTTGTGGAATCAAAGAGTTGTCATTTGTGGAGAGTCTTAATAATCTTGTGAGGATTAGCCCTTAGTTATTCAGAGTCTCAAATCATTGTCTGTGGATTCAGCCAACCAACCGGTTAACAAATCATCAACCATTCTTCTATATATCTAAGCTTGAAGGTCAGAATCAAAGAAATATATTTGGAACATTTTCAAGTCTACATCACCATCTCAAGCAATCTCAAAGGACAATGAAGTTGCAAGATTAGATTTTCAATACCTTCTTGCTGAACTTCAGCTTCAGTACCAAATGGATCATCTTCCAAGAGATCGAGAGCTACCTTTTTCCATGGACTTGACTCTGCAGAGGCTTCAAGCGTCAAAACTCGCTTCAATCCTCTTCTATCAACACCCAAATGAGTAACACCTGATGATTCTACGGCTTGTTTCAAACACTCAAGTTGCAGAAAACAAATGGTGGACATTAGTAAGTGATCTTTTTGAAGTTTTCTCAACAAGTTATGATGGTTTAGTAAAAGTTTTACTTGCCTTGAGACCAGATAAGTCTTTGCCTTCGTCTATTTCAGAGACAGTCGCTGAGCCAGATTGACCCTTGATTGCTTTTTGACAATATGGCATTGTGCATATGCGAAGATCTCCAATAGACTGAAGAAAACTTATGACCATACTAAAATAATGTGTTTGTATGGCATCTACCCACATGCCTCTTACCTACATAATGTATAAAAATATAGTTTATAAACAATTAACATAATTAAAAATATTTAAGTTGGAGTTTTTGTTGGTACTTTGCTTTTGTATTGAACACATGACGTCCACTCCATAGTCAACATACCAAGCGTTCCTCCGATCAAAGGGTACGGTATGCCTAAACCCTCATCAATTATTTTTAAAATATAACACTATAGAATCTAAACCCTTATCAATTAGTTTTATAACTAAAAAAACATTTTCCAAGTAGACCATTACATCTCTAACCACACAGTTTAAAAAAAATTAATATCTCCATAACAATAAGAGAGTGAAAGTAGGCACCGAATGTGTTAGAAGTACCAATATAGTGGTAAATGTCAATTCTCTTTCGTGAGCTTTAGTTCGATAGCTTTCAGAATCAAACCATAACGTCTGGCAATTTGAACTACACCTCCTTCACCATGTTTTTGCACAAATGATACACATATTTATAACTTCCAAAACATCTATACTTATGTTCACTTTCAAAGAAGCAATGCAGATGAGATCAAGTTTTCAATAAATCTAGTAATGAGTAACAAAAAGAAGAAGTTAGATTGTTATAAGGACCAAAAGAATTACTCAACAATAATATTTATGACCACATTTTATAATTTACATGTTATATGCAAACAAATGTCGTCAGATCCCAAGATATTTCTTCCCAATGATTGAAAACTGGTCTTCCCAAAGAGTATGAATTTCTAAAAAAAATTATTGTTTCGTTTACCTGAAGAAACCAAGGAATAAAAGAGTTAGATCCCGAAGGCAGAAGAGCATATAAATTATCTTGGAGCAATGAACTTTATGCGAAGAATATTTTTCCAACATTGCTTCTTCAGAAATAGAATGAGTAGAAGTGACAATTGGTGTTATTGGATTTGTAATTTCAATTTATATTAGTTGTGTTTTTGTTTAAATAGATTAAAATATCTCGTTGGTGAATTTAGTATTTTGAAAAAAAAAAAAAAAACAAGCTTACATAATCACTTTGATCACAATAGATTAGTTCATAATAAACCATCATTTTGATCACAGTAGATTAGTTCATAATAAACCATTGTTTCTAGACGTAAAGATTTATGAAATTATTGGTTTTAAAAGTGTTGTTTTCTTAGCTGCTCATATAATCATCTGCATCATCAAGACCAACCCAACTAATGAAAGCAAATAAAAACTCTCTAAAACCCACTTTCCCTTTTCTTCCCCAATCCATTTCTTCTGCACCACACAAACAAACAAAAACAAAGGACATAGAGAATCCAATGAGCAATCAAAATTCATTTCATCTGAATCAAAAGTATAGAGAAGAGACAGATCGATTTGTATATTACCGAATCTCATGTTGGTGACATGTGAAGGAGATCTCTCTAGAGGATAGTCTTCATTATTCAATGTCTTTATCACATCAGCCTTGTTCAGTTTCCCTTTACCATCTTTGTCCAAGAACAAGAACACTTCAACTATCGGATCAAATATAGATTCAACCAACTTCGGAGTATCCATCTCTCTCGACTCCTTATAAAACACGCAACAAGATTTTAATTACTTTCAATAGCTAAAACATTCCATCTATATATATATCATCTCGTTGATTATTATTACCGAGCAAGATTCAGAGGAAGGTTTTGCAAGAAGATAAATAAGACAGAGAAGGACAATAAACTCATTAAACTGTATCCCTTTGCTTCCATCAACATCACACCATCCATATAAACCTTTCACTTCTTCTTCAGACAAACTCAGCTTTAGTTCCTCTAAACATTTCTTCAGCTCCTCCATATCGATTGTCCCGTTTTCATCTTTATCTGCGAATATTCTCATTAACCAAAACGTTAAAAAAAATTCTAAACCGGTGGAATCTTGAAAGGTGAAGAAAAAGATCAAGAAAACGTTACCGTATGATTCGAAAACGCTTCTGATGTTTCTTAATCCTTCTCTTAGCTTAGGAAACTTCATGATTATCGAATCCATGGACTTCAAACTCCGGTGTCCCGGATAATTCCTCCGGCTCTCCACCATTTTCCGTTCAAGCTTCGCGTCCAGCTCAGCATACTTCTTGTTGATCTTCGAGTTAACACAGCAGCAGAGCATACTTCCGAAACAGTTTTGCTTATTTCAAAACTATGTATTAAGCCAAAGAAACACCAGAAAGATAGATTAATTACGAAAAAAACAAGAACTCACTAATGTTGATTTTGATGTTCGTAGTAAAGATGGATTAGAGGAACAAAGCGTAGAAGATTAAGTAAAGCATAAAGAATCATGAAGAAAGGCACTACGAATAGTACCAACCACACTTTGGTGGCACTTTCATCATTTTATGTCAATTTTTTTTATAATATCTTTTTTTGTTTCTTTATAGTTTCTGCCTTGAACCGCTTTCACTTGAATACAATAAACAATAATGCACAAAGTTAAAGCTTCAACATCAAAATATATACATGAGTAGGGCTAAAATGAAATTTTGATGACAAGTTTTGTATCGAATAATACAATCTCCCACCCCAAAGCAAAGTAAAGAAGAGTTAAGTTAATCTTATCTCTATCTTTCTCCAAATTGATTTCTTTCTTTCCTACTTTATCCAATGGTACTACTAGGCATCATCCAGCCAGCTTCATACCCAACACCCACACTGTCTCCACGATGCCGTTTCTTCATCGAAGCAGCAGAAACCGAGCTCCCGTTTGTGGCGGAAGTAAGTGAGCTTTCTACAGAACAGTTGGTTGTGATGTTGTTCTTGTGGTCTATTGCTACTGCAAGCTCGGACAAAGATGGCATCATCATCATCTTCGCTGCATCGAAGAAAGGGACCACCGTTGTTCCTGGAGAGCTGTTGGAGACTTTGATGGCTAGCTCTGATAGCTCTTCCCTTGCTGCCTCGAGTCCAGCGAAAGCAGCGGCTTGCTCGTCGAAGGCCTTGCAAGCTTTCTCCAGAATCGATTGTAGGTACTTCCCTTGTGCCTCTATCCTGAGCTGGAGTCTCCGTTGCACCTGCCCATACTAAGGTTTGAGCTTTAACAGCAGATCATATTGCATAAACTCCTACAAAAGTTATGAGTCTTATGACCATTGTTTCAACTTTAAGGATACAGAGCAGATGGAAATAGAAATCACTGTTCATTTGTACAACCGAGAAAGAAGGAATATTTGGTAATAACCACATCCTAATTTATGGATTGGGCATTGGTTAGGAACTTAGGATAATGGTTCTAATGTGATTTTCACAGCAAATATCTCATAAACGGACAAATATTTCCAACAAAAGTTATGACCATAGTTTTTTAACTGATGGAAACAAGGAGCAATGTTCAACCTAATTTGGTAACAAACACATGCTAATATTTTGGACTGGACATTGGTTACTAACTTAGGAATTAGGATAATGGTTCCAATGTGATTTTGAGTCAAAATATTTCATAAACACTTCAAGAGCAAGAGAAATGAAGAAACCTAACCTCTAGTTGCTCGTGTAGTCTTCTTTGGACTTCCATCTGAGCGCGTAGAGCTTCAGTGACTTGGTAACCTCTGTTTTGCAAACAAATCATGAGGGTTCATAAAAATTGCAATTCGCTAACCATTAGTAGCAGAATAAAACGAGAGGAAAATTAATTCAAATGTTAGCCATACTCGTTCTGCTCTTGCGCTGCTTGTCTCAGTGATGATGATGAAGATGAACCTGTGTCCTGACTCTCCCCAACACAAGAAGCTGTAGCACAAAGATCACATAATTAGTGGAAACCACGAGACTTGGACATGCAAGTGAGATTCCACAAAACTAGTGGAAGTCATAAGCAACATAGGTCTGTTTTTTTTTTTAACAATTGACTCTAAAACTGAAAATAGATACCATCTTTGGAGTTCTCAGTTGATTCTTTGCAAGCTTGCCTCCCTAGGCGAAATTTCTGTCAAGCAAAAGAAAGAAACATAACAGTAACACCATCAAACACTCATGAAATTCAAATGGATCATTGCTATAACAACACTCAAATCTCAGAATCTAAGGTGTTTATCTCACATTAACCAAATAGCTTTGGAAATTTGTTTGTTCAAGGCAAACGAGTTAAGTATGATAGACAAACCTGAAGATGTGATTTGAGGTGGTAGAGAGTGAGACCCTTCACTCCCATTGTTCTCATGATAGTTTTGGGCGTTGCTTCTGTAAGATTGAGAAAGCCACAAAGTCAGAAGAGTCTCTCCATTAAAAATTCACCATATAGCATAAGTAAGCAGTAAGCTTCATCGAATCAAGTAGAGCTACTAGTAACGAATCCAGAGCATGAAGATATCACAAACTCTAAGAAAGAAAAAGACGAAACTTTGAAGAGAGGGAGCAAAGTATATACAAGAAACTCAGCTCACATTTCATTTGAGACTCAAGATCCAGAAAAGTTTAAACAAAAACAGTAAGAAATAAAAGAGACAACCGAAGATAATCAATCAAATCAGTAGACAAGTACTTACTGTCGGGACCGCCGAGCTGAGTGACGGCGTCGACGAACCTCTCATGAAGCTCCGCCGTCCACCGGAGACGAGGTTTGGGGTCAGTAGTTAAGACCAAACAGGCGTCGCCGGGAAGATTGGTTCCGTCAAGAGGTCCATGGTAGTCACCGGCGTGCCCACCGTCGAGAGGGAGCGAGCGAATCGTCGAGTACATTTTCCGATTTCGTCGGCTATTTCCCCGGGAAAGTGAAAGGAAAAGTTTTTGGGGAAAGAAATGAATTTGGGTGGTATGCAAGATTGTGGGAGATTCGGATCCGGGTCTAACCCGGGTCAGGGTCCGGATTTTTTTTACGACAGCGAAAAGACGGGTGGATAGATTTGGACGTACCCTCTCTCTCTCTCCGATATGCGTGAACATAGAGGGAACATGTTGTGTAATAATCTACTAATAATAATTTGTTGGCAGAGGTACTTTGATTAAATTATTACTATTAATTAATCATCATTATTTGTTGTTAAGGGTTAGTAGAAACTAGTATTTTTTTTTTCAAGCCGATAAAACTAATAGAAAAAGGGAGTTTGAAAGTCAATAATTCATTAAAAACAATAATACAAAAATACATTGCCCAACAAATAGTAAATCTCACTTGTAATAATAATGATTAACCACGATTAACTTAAACGACATCAGTCTTTCATCGTGAAGATTTTTAGACTAACTACAGTATGTTGTTCATATTGATTCCTACAAAAAACTAGAGATGTAACATGGTTTACTAAAAAAAACGATGTTTCAATAAATTAAAATGATATTACTATATAACATCAAAACAACTTCATTTTAATCATGTCGAATAATTAAAGAAAAACAAAAATTCTACGATCATTGTTTGGAAACTGACATCCGAATCAATACATATGAACTGTTTTATTGACACCGTTTAGATTAATTTAGGATTTGGCTCAATTATTATATAGTTCATGATTCAATGATCAGTGTTAAACTGGTTATAAAAAAAAAAAATAGCAGCCCTTTTCCCCCATGATACCTATTTTGTTCAGCAACTTTTCGGATTTATAGAATTGTAATATAGTTGGGATGTCACTGTTTCGAAATTGTAGTTATTTGTAATCTTAACCTCGCTGATCTGATTGAATCATTTTTGTATGCGTCATTTTGTCCTTCATCACTTTGAGAGTTAGTCAACGCTAGTTTCCTAGAATAGAAAATACTACTGGTGTCCGAGATAATATTTTAATACGAAATGTATAAAAGATTAAAGAGTTGAATCAAAGGTGGTTGAAAAGAAAATTATAGCTAACTACTAAGTTTGATTATCATATATAGAAGTTAAAAGTATCTCCATCCACCAACTTATTTTTGATAAAAACAATTATAGTTAAACATGCGTTTATAGTAACACGGCTAAAAAACTTTTAATTTTTTTTCGTAAGTAAATGACACAGTTGTTGGAAACTAGATTTTTTTTGTAAATAATTGCTTATAAGTTTATTGTGTAATTGTAAGTGTGGAAATTAATTTAAGCTCAACTATGAATTTTAATATTAATAGTTCTTCCCAAATATACAGTACTTTTTTTCTTTTGAAGAACTTTCAAAATATGAATTCAAAAATAGTTTAGTTTTGTTTATTAATAATCACTTTTGAACTGAATTTTAAAGAATGCTATGATAAGTGAGAGCCGTTTGTCTGGACAACTGGTTTATAGCAATTTACATAAAAATGCACTTTGGAAGTTTTGGTTAAAAAAAAAAAATACTTTGTGGAGAAGAGGTACTTTATCCACTATTGATAATATATTAATCTGATTTTACCTTTTCTATTTTCTTATAGTTGTCCACATATGTTCATCCACATGGTCAGAATATTTTAGTCATTTGTTATAGTATACAAGTTTCACAGAGTTCATCCACAAAATATATGCAAAATGAATATACAAAATCACATTTATTCTGTCCATGAAGGTTCATCCACGAAAGACATGCAATATGGATAGACAAATTCAAACAATACATGTTTGGCTGTCCATGAAGGGTCATCCAAGTGAGCATGAGCTTCATCGATCTCAAACTAGTCCAGTGAACGTATGAAGTTGTCAACATATGTTCATCCATGTGGTCGAAATATTTTAGTTATTTGTTATAATATACAAATTTCACAGAGTTTATCCACAAAAATATGCAAAATAGATATACAAAATCATATTTAGCTGTCCATAAAAGTTCATCAACAAAGACATGCAAAATGGATAAAAAAATTTAAACAATACAGGTTTGGTTGTCCATGAAGGGCCCATCCACGTGTGCATGAGCTTCATCAATTTCAAATCAGTCCAGTGAACGTTTGAAGTCGTCCACGAAAATTCATCCACGAAGATTGATAATGAAGTGTTATGGTTATCCACAAAGTTTCATCTACATGGACATTTGATTTTGTATGAAAATGATAAAATGATCATTTCACATGATGAAAATACTTCTTCCCTTCTAAATGTGTTAATTTGTTATTTAAATTCGTAGAAATGCTTTAAAATGTAATTTTCTCAATGATAAAATCATGAAATCAAGTAATGAGCTGCTAAAATATCTAAAAGTATTCAATTGACATTTCAGAAAAAGGGCTAAATAGTGTATGAAACTGTTAAAACAAAACCAAAACTATTATATTTCATGTAATTCGGAATCACACCTATCAATTGATACCATAAAATAGTATCGATTTGTACAAATCTTGTTCTTTTTTAATGTTTACCGTGATTTTACGTTGTATATAACAACAAATGTTCTCGATAGTATATTTAACGATAGCATGCAAACTGTTATGTCTTGGCAGCATCTCCTCACTTCTCCATCCTTTTTCTTTCTTAGTTGGAGAAGAACCAATGGAATCCTTTCCCTCCGATTTCAGAACATTCTCCATAGAGAAACCGGTTACCTAACACATACAATAGTGCAGTATGAGATCATCAACAAATGGGTGGAAAGCAAAATAGTATTGTAGATACAGTTTTTTTCCTGGCTCTTACGGAGACACGCCAAAGACACCTCCTTGTATTTTGGATAGCGACACCATGAAACATCATTTTGTGCTTTGAATTCGTGTGTCACAACAAGATGGGATATGTTAAAATGATTTCTGAAAGCTTTTTGGAAGAAGAAATTCTTTACCTGAATATCTCAGCTTAACCATAAATGATCCAAAACCAGAGCCCAATGAACATATAAATGACACGTCCTCACTCGCACCTCATGATCAAAAAGTATCAAGTTTGTTACGCAGGTATATTGTACGAGCAGTGTGACTCCGTACAGTTGACTCTGTGACCGTTACTGAGCGATTGTGACAAGTGCGGCTGTAGTGTAGATAATTAGTGGGCTCTACGTTTTGCTTAAGGGCAATGTTCTTTCATCATTCACGATATGGGCTTGGTGAACTGGCCGTGTACTGAAACCTATTCTTCTCACAAAGCATTTGTTGATTTGAACTTGAAGTCAAACTCAGATCAAAATGGACATCATACCAAAAATGGTTTATGTAACAGTCAATTTGAGATTTCTGAGTTTATTTACTATTCTTTCAAAACCAACATAACCCGAATGAAACTCACTTTGTAAAATGTACCTGTCAACATAAGTAACCATCTGAAACAGGGTAAGACTTAAGAGTTAAGACCAACTGTATTAGCCGGCTATAGCCACACTAAACCGAAGTATAGCACAGATAAGTGAGAAAATATCCTCTTATATTTTCTGGTCGAGAAACATTCCAAATCTTTGTTTGTTGAAATTTAAACTTTGCTGATGAGATACAACTTGGAAAAGAAGATGACGTGGGCACCAAGTAAATTAACGATTTTCGATTTCAACTCCACTTCCTTATTTTCAGTTTTCATCTTGGTAGAAGTTGTTTCCTTTGTGCATTTAAAGACCTCCGGGTCAAGTTAATGAATGAGTGACAGATTGGCCAAAGTAATTTGTGTATTGCTTTACATATCTCATAGCTTTGAAGAAGGACCAATATTCTATCATTTGCAATCTTTGAATATTTAGTACAAAAGTTTTCAGAAGTCCCATTTGTACACAGTTTTGCTAATAATGAATATACTGTATAATGAAGTTTGTATAGGAATGAGAATGGAAGATTTACACTTAAAACAAATCGTCTTTTTATAAACTATGCTTTTAACTCGCGCGTCTGTATAAATAATTTGGTTTAATTTTTTGGCTAATATCTTTTAATTATCAAAACTATAATATATTTGTATAAATTTTCTTTTATATAAAAAATTAAAACATAATATGTAGTATTTCTTATTTTTGTTTATAAAATTATAAATCTTATTAAGTAAAATTATAATAATGACACCTAACGAATTATCCAACTTCGATGTGCATATGTTTGATTTAGAAAATGATTTCCTTACTAAAATTTTGGTGTTTTGTTTTGTATCCTTAGGATTTCTATGGTTCTTTTTTTAAAAAAGTCTATATGTTTAAATATTTAGTTTCTTTACTAAATATCTCACTAATGTTGTGTACATATACATATATAATATATGATATATATTGATTCAGATTTACTTTTGTTAGTAAGCTACACTAATCGTGTAAAGCTGCTTTTTGCTTCTCTATCAGATCTACTACGAATTTTAGGTTATATCTCTATTCAGTTTATAAGATCTGTTTTATTTGCAGTCAACTATTTGCTAATATTAATTTTTAAACATGTAAGATGATGTTGACACTTCATATTGTCACTGTTTTTTTTTTAATCTTTTGTGTGTTTATTCATGTTTTGATTTGAATATTTTATCTTCATATATTCTCATTTGAATTTGATTCATAACTTTGTCATATTATATTATTTAAATAAAATGTTAGAGGATGTTGCTTATGTGTTGTTCATATTGACTAAGTTATAAGCAGTAAATATGTATACAAATCAGACTTTATTACATATTATATTTTTAATGTAAAGTTACTTGTGTAGTATTTTACTTTGTTAATTTTTCAACCAGACTCAACCAAGGTATTAATCTTTGTAAATTTAAATAATATGTTTGATTTAGAAACTTGTATAACCTATTAAAACTTTTATGGTTATCCATAGTCAACACCAATATTTTAGAAATTATGAATGTTTTTGGAACTATATTTCAAACTAGTTTTCTTCTTAGATCTTGTTTTTTTGTTATTTTAAATATCTTCAATGGTAATTTTATACTTTATTATAATTATCTAATTTTCTGCAGGTTTGATATACTTAAAACATATATATTTTTAATTAATCTCTTTTGTTATTGATTTTTCAAATAGGTAGCATATATATTAATCTAATATATTTTACATAAATGCTTTTTATTTGTTAATTTTATTTTTTAAATTAATTAAAATGCTATTTTGACA